AAATTTAAAAACGGAAATTCCACGAAGGGCAAGTTAATTTACCATGTTCATTTTAATTAAAAAAAAAAAAAAAAAAAAAATAGAGAGGAAATCAAGCGCGCACATATGCGTCAGTGTCTCTGAACAGGTTAATTTCACATCAAAGCACGATTAACACGTTAAACGCCACGTCGGTCACCGATGACTGTCGGTATAAAGTAAAAGAACATCCTGATACTGGAAATTGAAATTTTCAGACTGCTCGGATAATAAAATAATCAAACGGAATTAAAATTAAAATTTTTAAGACTGTCAAAGAATAAAGAGGTCAAGAGAGATTTAAAATTTTGAAATCGTTAACGAATAATAAAAGTATAGTAAAAAAGAAAAAAAACTCGGCATTTAACGTGTTAAACGACTGCAGAAGGTATTGGCACATTGACAAAAATAACGGATACTGTAAATCTGTCCAGCCACTGTGAGTCAAAAATATTCGACCACTTTCGACCGAAAAAAAAGACGAAGAAAAAAAAAAAGAAAAAGAAAAATAAAAAAGATGCGGTCGAATCGACAGAGTAATAGATGGAGTAATCGCGGAATTAAAGGGACAGAGTTACGATCGTTACGGAGGCAATGGCGAGTCGCTATCGCAGCCTCGCGCGCGACGGGAAGCGACGAGCTCGGCCCCCGTTAAAATCGCATTAATCTTAACCGGCCGATTACCATAAATTTGCATGAGAAGAGAAACGAAAGGACGTGTGCGACCTGGACTCGTCGCGATCGTCTAGCGGCGCCGGTGGCGACAGCGATGTCGCGGACACCGCGTGCCCGCACATGACCAACGTTAGGCCAGTCCAGCACTACGGAAGCTTTTACCTGAGAATGGGCGCGGTGGCGTTCGGCATCGGCTCGATGATCTACTCGGGCCTGGAGTTTGGCCAGTACTTTGAGCTCGAGCAGAACACCAAGTGCCACAACATTATGCTCGCCCTCACGCCGGCCACTAGGATGGCGTTCATCTTCATACAGATGTACTTTATATTTCTCAACAACGAGGTGGGTACACTTGGAACGTGTGGGCTGGAGGTGCATTCGAGATTAACGCATTGAGCGTTTTGTTTTATTTTGAGAATGTGACGAGTATACTCGACAAGTATACTCGACGAAAACAAAATTAATGCACTTGCTGTAAGATTGAGTTAAATTGAGTAACGAAATGATAAATTTTTTTTTTTTTTTTTTGGTGTTTCTTTGAAAAATTTTTAATTTTATTGGTATTTACGGTATTTTATTTAAAGTTGCCCTTGCGCTGGCAACTGGTTCGCGGACCATAACGAGTGACCGAATACAATAATTCGTCGCTTTCTGTTTCTTTTGAACTCTTATGATAGAAATTATTGAGAAGTAACAAACTTATCATTTGTTTCGCCTGGATTACATTTAAATATACCTGAAACTGAAAAAATGTTGCAATTTGGGACGAAAGATTCTCGACGTGTGTGGGACGTCGTTCTAGCGCAAGAGGTTAACATTTTATTTTTTGAAAATTATTCCATGAAAGGAAAAGCATTAAAAATTCAAAATTGCGGAGAAGTGAACTGGAATTTTCATCAGTTCATAAAAGGAAGTAAAAAATCAATGAGTACTTTCCAATAACGAACCCCGTTGGAGTTCTTCAAAAATTAAATTCTGCTCGAGACACATTTCGGCTGATCTTTTAAACCATGAATATTTAATGGATGTTATTAATCATTCTGTTGGAACTCACTCTTACAAATTGTCATCGTTATTATACGAATATCTATATGTATGATGAATCTACACGTGTGTGTATAAGTACATTTAGCGTTACAATGAGCACTTTATTTCACGTTATTTTTTCTTCAACTATTGTTACACACGTGAAATTTTTATGTCGGAGTAACGACTATGCATCGGATTTTATTTTCATTACAATGAAAAAATTGAGTAAAAAACAAATTTGATTTGCAAAAGATTGAATTTGATAAATCCATTTTTGTTTTTTGCGAAAACTTCACTTTTCATGTCCACATAAAAGAAAAAAAAAAAAAAAATATAACGCAGCGCAACAGTTCTCGAGAAAATCATTTTCTGACATTTTCAATGGGAAAACGTTTCCCCGTGACGTAAACGCGAATGAGACAGAGAAGCATGCACACGCGAGAATCGATAATAAACGCCAAGCAAGCAACTGTCTATACTCTGTGCTGGAGATCGATTCGGCCAGCAGAATCGTGACCCATCTTTGGGAGAGAAACGAAGGGAATCGCAAGCGTTTCGGTTGGCCCTTTTATTTTTTTTTTTTTCCACGCGAAGACGTTGCGTAAAACGGAGGGACGGTTAAACTGAAACTGAAGCAAGGGGGATCGTCGTTCAGTAGGTGAAGGGACTAAAAATAACAGTGGCATCGATGGATGCAGAGAGATCGCCGGTGCGCGGCACGTAATGAAAGAGTGAAAGCGTCGATGCAAAACGAGAAGCTCGGCTAGAAAGGTTAATGAAACGGAAGGGTGAACAACCCTGAAACTAATACTGGAACACGAGTCGTCCGCCTACCTACCCTGGCCGGCTTTGCTCTTTTCCTTTGCTGCCCCTCCGCCCCTCACCCGCCACAGATGAATATCTCCCGTAGCGTACTCGACCGCTTTTGATTAAAACTTTCCGCCGTGGCTTCTCCGAGGACTCGCGGCAGCCTCTCGTCGTTCGTCGCGATCGCCGATCGTTTAACGATTGACTCTAAACACCACCTTGCAACGATAAAAAAAGAAACTGACGCAGACAATAGCTCTGACAATTGTTGAATTATTCTTGTCTTCCACGTTGGACGTCCGATCGATGCCGTTTCCGATTCTCCTCTGCGTGTCATGCCTCGAACATCTTTCCCCTTTTTTTCTTGATCTGATTCGCCAACGAGCCTCTCTCTTAATCTCTGTTCTATTTGACAGCAAATGAAAGTCTACCGTCATCGAGTGGTCGCGCGTTTCGGGCTGATGCACATGATCGGAACGAACCTGTCGGTCTGGCTGAACGTTCTTGTACAGGAAACGAAGCACGAGATACTGACGTTCTACAATCCGGAGAATAACTCGTTAAGGATTTCCCACCGATTAGGTACGAGTTGTTCATAGCTGCGAGAGCACGCAGCGGTTCGAGAAAGTATTTTAGAAATACACCCCCGCTCAAAAGTCTTGGGAAGGGGAAAGTACGATATTTTTGTTTCGAAAGTGGAAGAAATTCAACGATGCTTTACGCAACCGAAGAATCTGTCAAGTATTGACCTTAGAACTTTTGTACATGTTATTTATCTCCTGAGAAAAATTGTTTTTTTTTTTTTGTATATTAATTTTACTTCGTTTTGATATGTTATTCATTCGTGAACGGGATAACTCATACCTTTGTTTTGAATTTATTTTCATTGATACGTGTTTTGACAGTAAAATTGTACTTCTAGAGTACTAAATCTGTATCTGATTTTTCCGATGTTACGCACGAACGACGAAGTAATATATTTGTAGAGTGTTTTCCACCTATGTAATTTTTAAATTTCAAAATAAGTTTCCTTTAGGTTATTATATTTAAACTTCTATTTTCTAACTGATTTTTAACTTAGTTAACGGGCCAATTCTTGAAAAAAAAAAAAAAAGAATTCGTGTATGCGAGAATAAATCATTTTTTACGAAGGAAATAGTATTAATTTGTAATGTTATCTGAGTGAATCTTGGGAGTTCTAGGGTTAATGAACGCAGAAAGTGGACGTAGAAAGTACACTTGATGGAAAATGGTCGATAAAACTTCGCGAGCAAAAATCATAATAAATTTTAAGGGGAGACTTCAATCTTCAAGATCATGGTGGATTTAAATTAAAAAGAAATTGTTCAGCGTGCAAAATTTTCGAAAGAAAAAGTATCTCTACCCACCCTCAAGAAACAAACTCAGCACTGTGAAAGGAGAGGTTTCACGCTTAAAAGTGAATCTAGATTATGTACGAATATTTTCTGCATCCACTGATATACTAACACTTTGCAGATTCTTTCGAGTTTAAATTTTACAAAGTGTACCATTTTATAAAGAGTTTTATATTATATTATTAATTTCTCTATTTTCTTCGTGCGGTTAATCAATTTGATAAACGGTTCGATATCAAATACCGAATATTAAAATCAAAAAGTGTCTCAAGACTTTTGAGTGACACAGTGTACATCACATTCTTTTACTTTTCTTTTAAGTTTGCTACTATACACTGAGACTATACAGATGACGTACACTCTTGCTCAAAAGCCTTGTGATACATTTCATTTCTCGTAATAAAATTTTTCAATTGCACGAGTATGTTGTAATACAATTTCTAATATATCGACACTTTACTTCATTCTTAGTTGTACAAGGTACTATTTAATTTCCTAATCCAGTTTCGAAATAAACGTGATACTTGTTCTGAGATTTCTGAACGGAGGGTGGAGATGTATCTGAAATAATTACGTCGTCTCTCGAGTACAACGAAGCTCGTTATACCCCGCTTGAGCGATATCGAACGGAGACTGAAGCTGAAATTAAATTAGGTTCGAAGAGCAGTCTTAATCTCGGAGGGCATAATCACTACCACCACGGCGAACACATGAGGTATCCGAGAGGTTTGAAAGGGCCGCATCACATGTACGAGTGTCGTCGAACGAACATAATGGGATCGTTAGTCCAGGATGCCAGCCCGTTCCTGTTCCCTTGCACCATCGAGTACAGCTTGATCTGCGCCGCGATCTTGTACGTAATGTGGAAGAACATATCGAAAGCGGCATTTTCCCAACCCAAGACTCCCCCCGGATCCAGACATCACGCGCACGCTTACAGGTAAGTGGACTGTTGCCTGACTCGTAACTTTATCAAAGAGCTACTCTCTCTTCCTTTCTTTTGCCTAATGACCGATCAGAGAGATACCAAGATTTACAGTATTTTCAATCTTACAGGAAATCACCGCATCACTACAGCGTGGACTGTGCCCGCGCCCACAAAGGCCTGTTCGTGGGCATTTTGATCCTGGTGCTAACCATCATATCCCTGATATTGTTCTTCGTGCTGATATCGCGTCCCGAGTTGGTGAGCTTCGCCGTCACCGAGGTGAACGTCTGCGAGCTAACGCTGTACGGAATGTCGACGATGGCCACGCTGATAGGGATGTTCCAGATGCGAAAGCTCCGTTACGACGGCACCCGGAACTTGGAGCTGGACAACATCCTCCTGGTGGCCGCGCAGACCGGCATGTTCATCTACTCGACGTTCACCATCATCGGCGCCCAGTTCACCCTTGCCAAGCACACGGTCCTGGTGTTGGTCACCGCGCTGGCGAGCGTCGTGCAGACAACGTTCCAAACGATCTTCATACTGGACGCGTCGAGGCGGTCGGTCGCCACTGCGAAGCAGATTCGAAGGAAACCAGGCCGTGAGATCGTGACGTTCCTGCTGGTGACGAATCTGGCGATGTGGGCGATCAACACGTTAGAGAAGTCGCGAGCTGAGTCGCATCCGGTTCAGCTGCACTTCTACGGCCTCTGGGCGTGGACCATCATCACCCACGTCTCCATGCCGCTGGCCATCTTCTACAGGTTTCACAGCACCGTGTGCCTGTGCGAGGTTTGGAAGAGAGCGTACAAAGTGAAGCCGACCTACATGTGACGTAAGGGGTCGCCGCACGAGGTCGTGTACGAGACCACCACCACCACCACCACAACCACCAGCACCACCACCATGGCTCCACAACGACCGAAAACCCTGCCGGCCAGGCTGGACGCCATCGCGGAGAACGATCCGATTTACTTTATGTAACCTCACGTGCAAGTGTAAGGAGGGAACTGCGTGGCCCGCAGGCATCGACGACGTCCCTTCGCCTCTTCCTCGTCGCATCCTCGTCACATCCTCGTCCCGCGTTCCTGAAGCTCCTGCTAGAACGTTCGATCGACGATTAACCAAGCGCAGAGCACGTGTTTGCCACGAGTATGCGTTATTACTTCGTGGTTTTTTTTAGAGTTAATTCAACGGGGTTGCGCGCGTCAACGACCTCTCGCGACGCGAGTCAGGGATTGGTCAGCCCGCGTTTGTTTCACGATCGTCGAGAGAGAAATTGCGTTATTTATTATCGTTTAGATGATTATAGAAGAAGCTTTTCATCGAATGGTCCTCGTACGCTGAAACGAGCCTGAAACTGTATGTACATACACGGGGTCAGCGCCAACAATACGAGATCCGCGCGAGATCTCGAGTCGATTTTCCCGGGGAACAAGCGAGATAGTAGGAAAGAGGTGTAGACACCTACATTAACGACGCACAAGTTTTACCAAAAGATTTTTTAAACGTAGACGATCAGTCGCTTAGAATCGTCGAGGCAACGGTTGTTCCTTCGATCCCCCACATCCTCTCGGGAGCAATATGATTTCTGTTCGATACGTAAGCGTTAAGGCGATTTTCTACTGATCAAAACGGCGAATGAGAGAGAGAGAGAGAGAGAGAAAGACAGCTTGTGTATGTGTGTGTATGCGTTCGACGAAAGAATGAAAAGAGAAAGAAAGAGAGAGAGAGAGAGAGAGAGAAGTGTCATTTTTTCCCTCGATCGTAAACTGTTTGTAAGACTGAATTCTAAGCAACCTTAGGAAGATGGTTAAGGAGAACGATTCCTACGTTTCCGATGGCGAAGTGAGTCGACCGAAATCCGCGTTAATCCCCTGATCGAAATCTGTCCTTCGATGTTACTCGAAATACTCTCACGGACATCCGTCTTCCACGTAGTACAAAGCTGCAACTTAACGTATTGTCCCTCGTTACCCGTGAAAAGTAGATAATTTAAAAAAAGGGGAATGAAAAGAAGAGGAAGAGGGAAAGAAAAACGAAACTAAAAAGGGAGAAAGAAACCAACACGATTCGAGAGAAACAGATAAGATAACCTATCGCAAAGTCCTGTCTCAAACACACCTCGAATAGATTTTCTATATTGTTATTGTGTAGATGACCTCGTTGAGATCATTTTTGCGTGGACTGCGAAGGAACAGATAAAGAAACGTCCGACGTCACGACACACAAAGTCCGTAACAAAGTGCACGCAGTCTGTTTCTCGCGACTCCACGCGGCAACGTCTGGCGATCGATCGATCGATCGTTAGTATTTCGAACAAAACGGACACCTCCAGTCCAACTCGAATCACATCGAAATTGCGAAACTTCTGAACTGTTCCTCGCTGGGCGTTGCACGTTTTATTAGTCACGAATCTAAATTCGAAATATCGGTTGTAGAGAGAAAATAGATGAGAATGAGAGAGAGAGAGAGAGAGCACCGAATCGATGCTTCGTGCGTTATTTCCTCCCGCCAAAAAAAAAAAAAAAAATCCAAACCAAAGATAAGTAAGTTTATAAAAGAGGAGAGAAAATTCACGAGATATCGATAAACGGTGACAATAATGGAAAAGCATGGTCCTGTAGATTCCCATAGATTTGTCGCGCCAAGGTGAGATAGAGAAAAAAGAAAGATAACGTTCGAGGAAGGAACAGAGTACAATGGCGAATCATATCATTAAGCCTTAATCCGTCGAGTGAGCTGTCCAATCTCCGAGTGATTAGGAGAAAACGAAAAAAGAAGGAAAAAGAAAAAAAAAAGGAAGAAAATAATGAAGAGATGCGAAGGATCGCGATCGAACTTGAAAGAAGAATAAGCCGAGACCACGAGTTTGTCTCGCACAAATGTGCTTCGCACATTTTCTGCTCAACAGAAGAACGGTCCTCCGAGGAGAGACCGGACAGAGAGAAAGAAAGAGAGAGAGAGAGTCAAATTGATCCGTCGAGAGTGTGAATCGAGTCGAATCGTGTTCAATCGATCGGCGTGCGATACTATTTGTTCCGCGAGAATGCGCGTGTGTGCTTGTTTTTTCTGCGTGTTGCGGGTGCGATGTGTGCGTGTGTCCTTTGGGAACAACTCGGCGAGCAAAGGATGGTCGAAAGAGCAAGAGAAAGAGAGAGAGAGAGAGAGAGAGAGAGAGAGAGAGAGAGAGAGAGAAAGCGTGAAACAATTCGGTAGAGACGATTTTTACTAGTTGAACGCGTGTTTTTCGTGCGATAGGCGCATCTGTTTTCTTTTTTTTTCTTCGTCACATTTTCAGCGACACCCACCGGAAGTCTAAGCTGCAAGTCTAGTTGATTCTTTTGTAAGGTGTAAAAAAAAAAAAAAAAAAATTCTGTGACTGTGAGGCGGCGTGTAAATACGGTGTTTTAAGGAGAACGGGGGAAAAAAAGAAAAGAGGAGAGCAGAGTAAGAGAAACGACGAGCAAAGGAGAGAAAAAAAGGAGAAGAGAAAAAGGAAAAAAAAAGAAAAATAAATAAAAACTGGATCCTCTCGGTGTTTAGAGCTAGTTGTGTCGACATGTTTCTTCCTATATTATATATAATATATACACATATATATACAAATATAAATATATTTATTATTGCGTTGTTCTATTATAATATTTATTGTATTATCAGATATACATAGGATTTACGCGCGACACGTTACGTTTATTAATAGGGGGCTCGTGCCGAGATTCATCCTATATCGCGTTTCTCACGTTCGTCCGCTTCTTGCTTTCCCGCCGCCTTTCCCTCCCCCTCCGCCCCTCGTTTTCTTTCCCTCTTGAAGATCGAGAGCGAGCCGTCGATCCATCGACCGAACAGCCGCGACGCGACTCCCTCAAACGTCGACACGCATCGTGCCGACACGAGCGATCTCGGCACGAGTCTTAACCGAGAAAATCGAGGCGAAACACGCGAAACGAATAAACGAATCGGAGGTAAGTCACGATGTGCGCAATTCGAAATTCGGAGCAAGGGTGAGAAAAACAAAAAAAAAAAAAAAAAAAAAAAAAAAAACGGGGGAAAAAAAAAAAAAAAAAAAAAAAAAAAAAAAACGGGGGCCCAACCTCTGATTCCGAGCCGACGATACATCCTAACGATAAGAGCCAATAATGGCGTTCGTTACCCTTATCTCTTTCGCTTCTTTCAAAGAACTTTGTTCACAAAGTGTCCCGAGTTTAAATGTTGAAACTTTGGGAGCGCGTAGAGGACTGATGAACCAACAGTAAGAAAAGAAAAATATTCCTTAGAGATTTCTAGCTCGTTTCGCGAGGAAAAGAAACAAAGAGATTTTCGTCTTTTCGCTTATTGACGTTGTGAATTTATTTTATCATCCATATTATTTCTAGCCAGTGGTACCAGCGAAAATAATATTGGTAATGGCGAAGAACACGAAAAAAAAAAAAGGAATTAAAATAAAAATGCTAAAGCAAAGTTGGAGTTTCGATCTGACAGAGACTTGTGTGAAAGTTTCTGAAGGTTTGGCGCGAGTTTATGATGCTGACAAGTGAAAAAGCTAATCAAGGGATAGAGAGAAAAAGTTGGGAAGCGCTGATCTAATCATTTACAGCGATGCGTTAGACGTTAACTCTGACGTTCACTTATTCTTTCAAATTGATTGGCATCGGAATGGAATAAACCGAACACTTCTGACTGATTAGATTCAGATACGGAGCAAAAAGCAAAGAGTTACTCGAATCGACGAAGCGTTGACGTAAGTTTCAAATTGGAACTAAACTTAAATTTGCCGCGTGTCGTGGATGGAGGATTAGGTTGAACGGATGTGAAAAGTAAACAGAGATTTAATTTCTAATTGTAAGTATCAACATACGTGTCGAGTATGATAAATAATTAAGATGAAGAGAGGAATAGCACGGCAATTGGTACAGGTATTAAAACAGTCAATACGAAACGCGGCGTTCACAATAGATGCGAGACACACGGGAACGCATCTGGTGCGTTTCAATGTCGATTCACTCGCTGTCGGAACTCATTTATTTTCCTCCCCCGCAATCACGTTAATTCACTTTCGAATTAATATAAATATATCATCGGCCACTCTCTCGTGAGATTCGCGATTATTTTAGCTTCAAACAGATGAAATAATGTTCGAATTATATTATCGCGAGCTGATGATTGAAATCAATGTTTACACCGTCGTAATTATGTATGTACGACGAACGATAGTTTCGATTGGGTCGTCGAAAGATTCGAAGAGACGAATAAAGCTACAGAACAATAAACACGTTCTATGTTGCGTAGTTACACAGGTGCCAAGAATTAGAACAATATGAATGACCCAGCAATAATAACAGTCAGAGACATACCTTACAATCTTCTATGTTTTTATATAGGTACAATGTTCATCTGGCTATCCACGTGCGCTATTCGTTTAACAAAGAGCGTTACAGTTGTTTAATAGCTTCTTCAGCAGCGTGTACAGCCCTCGCGATTTGTCTGCCAAATTTTGTCACGTCGAATAAATCTAATAAGTGGTGTTTAATTGTTTGCTGAGATATGGTAGGATCGTGTCGTCTTTCTTGAAATGTACGTCTCAATCGAAAGACTGGACGAAGAAAGGAAGATTCAATTCAACTGAGGATTAAGAAAGAGACATTAGAAAAACTAGAGTGCAAGAAATGATGCAATAAACAAATCTCTAAGAATACAATCTTGCAAAGCTGCTTCAGAAAATTATGGAATGGACGTGCCATTTTTGAAAATTGCAATATTTTCTCAGTTTTAAGTACACTTAAGTATATCTCAGGTAAAGGAAATAATAAATTCATTATTACTTCTCAATCATTTCTATCCAGTGATATCATACCGACGAGTTCCAAAGAGAAAGCAACGAATTATTGTATACGGTTTGGTCACTCGTTATGGTCCGCAATCAGTTGCGCCAGCGCAAGTTGTTAAACTGGCCATTTCGACCGCTTTGATCAGTTCTGGTGTTAAAAACACATGAAAGATACATTTCCAATGTATCGATTGTGTGGATTGAAACGATTGAACGAAGCAACGTCGGAACAAAATTTCAACGAGTGACAATTTCACACAGAAAACCGGAACCAACCGACCAACCAAGGTTGCAGTAGAATTGTCTTATCATCCGAATTCTGAAATTCTATTTTCGTCGCCACACAATGCTAACACTATCTACTTCGGAAAACGTATAAAAAAAAAAAAAAAAAAGAAACTGTTCGTCTGAAAATCCGCGCAAGGTGATAGGAAACGGTGAATGGCGCTATTTATAACAATCTAAAAAAAGAGCAGGTGTATTGGTATTTTAAGCATCAACCTAGTTCGCGTATTTTCAGCGCAAAAGAAAATTGCAGCGTCTAATCATGCCGCGGTGCAATAACTCTTGCGCCGCACGTGACGTAAATGTGCAAACAATCAAAGCGACACTTCGCTGGAAAAAAAGGCGCGTACGATAATGATCTCGAATCGCCAGCAACCTAATTCTCGAAATATTCGCGGTAATTAAACGATCAACTCGATGGATAATACGAATTCGAGGAAAGAGGAACAACCGTGACCAATTAAACCGCTCATCTCTCTCTCTTTTTCCTTTTTTCGCAAATACAGTTGTTCCATTCAGCTGAGAGGCGCCTATAAATCCATCTGGCGGACTGGGACTAGGACCGGGGAATTTTCGGACGGGACATTTTCAAAGGCCAGAAAATCACACGGCTATTTCTGCCGACGGTGGGCCAAGCATCGCCGGCAATATTTGAACAAGTATTGCTAAACTGTGCTCAATGAACTCAATGGACCAACCCCTTACGTTGGCACAGATGTACAGAACATTACGTTGGCATGTGCCAACTGATCATGCGCAATCACTGGCCCACCGATTCCCCGAACAGGGTTAGATCATTGAACAATCGCTCTAGGACCATAACTGCGATGCGTTTGGATGTTTTCTAACTTTAATTGTCAGAGCTGTCTGTGTATTCGGAATCTGTTATTCGGAGGAGGGCTGCCGCGTTCAGATTCGACTGAGAGACACCATTTGTGTGCCATTTTTAAAAAATTATAATTGACTTATATTGTAAAATTGTGATTATCTCGTATTTTGACATGTTACTGTATGTGTATGTATTCGGGAAAATTATCGCGTTCAGATCATTTCTTCGCTGAGACACGTGTCCCAATTTTAAAATATAACTATATTACAAAATTGTAACACTATATTATACTATTACAAAATTGTACTACTATATTATAAAATTGTAATTATCTTGTATTTTGATGTGTTACTATATACTTATATTGTAAAATTATAATTATCTCGTATTCTGAGATATTACTATATACTGTATATATGTGTATACCAGGAAAATTACCGATATTATAAAATTGTAATTATCTTGTATTTCAATATATTACTATATACTGTATGTGTATATATTCAGGAAAATTACCACGTTCAGATCATTTCTCACTGAGACAAGTGTCCCATTTTTAAAAAATTATAATTAACTTATATTGTAAAACTGTGATTATCTCGTATTTTGATGTATTACTATATACTGTATATATGTGTATTCAGGAAAATTACCGCGTTCAGATCATTTCTCACTGAGACAAATGTCCCATTAAAAAAATTATAACTGACTTATATCATAAAATTGTAATTATCTTGTATTTCGATACATTATTAGATTATATAGACTGTATATATTAATATTACTAGTTATTTTACTTATTTTATTTTATTATATATATATATATATATATATATATATATATATATATATATTGATATATTATTACGTAATGTACATATTAATATATTATTTTACTTATTTTACTATACTGTATATGTTAATATGTTATTACGTAATTACGTAATTAACTGAGATTTTGCCATCGAGTTTTATCATCGGGCTCGTTTCTCTTTAGAGAATGAGTAATTATCCTGGTTGTCGCGCCGGCCGAGAAAACTTACCGCTGAATAGAGACTGATGTGTCGCGATATCGGACAAGAAAAAGAAAGAGCTACTATGACGCAATAGTATAATAAACGACGCGAAGGAAAATGATAAAAGATAAATCGCTGTTTGTTACGAATTCTTCTTTAAATCTCGCATTCACGTAACGTGAGAGTTCGACGTGCCAGGAGTAAGGTCCTCCTAAAAGCAGAGGAATCTCAAAAGCCGATGGAATGTCATGAATGGAAGATTCGATGTCTGGTATTTAACGCGCGTTTGTTGATATCGGCCAACACGTACAGACGACGAAACCGTTGGAAACTTGGAACGTTTCACGAATGAAATTCGATTTTTAAATCGAATTCCTTGGACACGGATCCAATTAATTGCCTTACTTAACGCCAAGTTATCAAGTAACGAAAGATCCGCGAATAATATATAATAATAATCGTAACGGCGCAAGCCGGAAAGGTGTCAACGTCCAGGTGGTGTCCATGGACGAGTGAGTCTCTGAATTGGAATTAGGCAGGCAAACAGAAAATCACCGGGGAGACAGATAAGTGCCGAGAAAAGCGACAGCTCGGACGCGGCGCTGCGTTTGGCAAATCGTCAAAAGTTCTTTAACCTTTCGGGGCAAGGTGGAGGAAACGGTTTCGCACGGACGGGGGAACATGGCAACATGGATATTCTAGTACGCGCAATTAACATCGCAGTCAGCGACGAGGTAGGGGCCTCGATTGTCAGAATACCGAATTAACGAAACACTCGGTTGTTAGGGCATCGATTAAACGAGAAATTCGGGAATGATCTGCTGTTGGAAGTAATGTGAAGAGCAAAAGAATCGACATAGTAATTTCTGCCGTGATAGGAGCAAGAATGGTAGAAGACGATCTTCAAATTCTGAGTCAAGATCGACGCTTTAAGCTGTAATAATATTTTAACCGCCAACCTTAACCCAGATACGCTCAAACCCAAATGATCGCAAGATGATGATTTCTACGATTTTTGGCAGTCTTTGTCAAATGATTCAGATTTGAAAA